GTTTGGGCTTTGCGATTCATTTTGTGGTTGTTGATTATTCACAATATTATTTAGGATTTGCAGTTCATTTTGTGATTGTTCATTGCGTGGAATATGAAGTAAAGAATGACGTCTACCTCTACAACCATCCTTACCACACCTCGATTTCGAAAAACATTTAGTCGACATATGCCCAAATTTGAGGCAGAGGAAACATAATTTAAGTTTGAGAACATTCTTTCGTCTCTCATTTACTGATAATTCAGAGAATTTCGTACATTTTGATAAATAGTGATCAAGCTTTTTACAAAAAATGCACTCACTAGTTTCATTCTCCGAAAAACTATCTCCTTTTGAAATCATGACAGTTTCTCTTCTGATAGGATTCTTAGATAGATTATATTTCTTTGAAAAGTAGTACTAAAAGCGGCCATCGAGTTAAGCTCTTCTTCAAACCATTCAGAAAAATCTTCCAATGATGTTTGTATTCCTTTCAAATCACGTTGATGCTTGAACTTTCCCCATGAAAATTTTTGCATAGTAGGAATCTTTTCTATCAAATTTGTTAACATATCTGGATTGTAGAGATACAGAGAGGAATTGATGTTTTTCATAGTGGTTACCATGTTATTCACAACATTAGAAAAATAAATCCATGACTCCCACTTGTCTTCTTCAACGTTACCAGCTTTTTTCGCCTTTTCTATCAGCGACAAAATTAGCCACTCCGGTCTACCAAAATTCATTCCTAGCATCTTGATAATTTTGGAGACGTTTCTTGGGGAAATGAGAAGAGCTTTGACAGTTTCTTTTGCTTTGCCTTTCAATACCCGATTCAAACGGATTTAATTGTCTTCATCAGATAACCCAAGCTGATCTGTAGATATTCTAAACTCATTGATGAAAATAGGCCAATTAGTCAAATCGCCAGAAAATTACGTGAGATTCTTCAATGTTTGTTGCAAAAGAACTTTATTTGTGACATTCGCATTTTGTGCATATTGTTTGGCAATATCTAAAAGCACCTGGTTATTCTCTCCACCCCCAACAAAATTTGGAACGTTGACATTAGGAGAAGATAAAATATTGAACGATTCTGGTTGATTGGGATCCTTGTGAATACACTGTCTTGACTCTGTTACCCAATTATCGATAACATTTGGATTTGCATAAAAATGTTCGGAACAAGTTGGAAATTCCAGCTTCTTTTCGTAAAAACTGACGTTCTAACTCTAAAGCTTTTAGCTTTTCCTCAGATTCTAAGAAAGAATTATTATTGATGTAGATGTTAGGTAATATGCTTCAGGTGATCATAATTGAACAGGTACCTTAGGTAGAGGCTTAGGTAATCTTTTGGAGGTAGTCTCAAATATATGGTTACCTGTAGTATTTAAATATTAGTGTAAGAAACAACTTAATTATTCAAATCACTTGACAAATTTACTGTGTAAAGGTTACATGACAACTAGAACAACGAATATAAATATGTTTTTCACACACACAGTACAATAGGAAATTTCCACACATTCTAAATTACAGGGCATCGTCAAAATATTCTTGTAGGTCATAATAGGTTAATAGTTTTGTACATTTCTTTCTGAATATGATAAAAGGAGTCTCTTTGACCGCCTTGTGTGGTATATCGTTGTAGCTGTAGATTCATAGTTCTCCCTATTTTTATGTATAATCGATACGGTTCCCAATATAATATGGAAATAACAGTAAGGATTCTATATTCTCGAAAAAGGGGTTTACATAAATTCCGCCATTTCGCTTTACATAAGTACCTAACAGCCCTTTTCTGCAAGACAAAAACCGACTGCATAAGTTGTTTACTGCAAACACCCCAAAAGGGTATACCATACCTTAGATGAGAGTATATTAAGGCATAGTACACTACTTCCGCTGCAGCAAACCTCATTTCCTTTGAGATGTTTCTCAGTGTGAAACATCCTAATGCCAATTTTTTGTTGATGTGTGTAATATGCCGAGAGAATTTTAAATTTTCATATATACATGAATTCCCAAAAATTTATTGTGTTATCGTCCAGGGGGATAGAAATAGTTTTATTCATCACTAAAATTTTCACACATACATAATTACAAGACTAAATACATGAGAAAACTTATTGGACTAGTCAAAAGTAAAACGCTAAAAGCAAAACACAAATGTTTGATCTTGAACAAACTCAAAAGAGAAGACTACATGTATAGAATAAACTAAGTCATTTATCTAAGCACTAAAAGCAAGAAAATCATCCATACTGTAAAATCAGTTATCCAACAAGAAATCATATAGTTCATTCCTCATTACAGTTCTACTTTTATTGATCCCTATAAAAGTTGTTATTTTATTGAAACATTTAATACACAAGTATTTTGGGGAATTTTGACTCACACTCAAGCGAGAGTAGGGGTGGTATAAAGTATGTTCACCCCGAGAAGCGTAATTATGTATATCAGAGTTTTTTGTAGGTGTTTATTATCATAGATATATAACACCAGCTGTAATATGTATAGGCACGGCAATGGTAGGATGTTGAATTTTTTAAACAGTGGTTTACAAGAGTCCAGTCTCGCAGATTCCTAATTGCGTAGTTTGCACTGCCAACCTTTACACATAAACTGTCGATATGTGCCTCCCATGTTAGCTTTTGATCCAGGAGTATTCCTAAAAATCTAGCTACCTGACAGTATTCCAGAGTTTCACCACACATATTGATGTTCATTAGATCTGGATTCGAAGTACCTACCGTTCTTGGGTAAAAAATTGATAAACATAGTTTTCTTTATATTGCAGACAAGGTCATTGTCGCTACAGTATTTACTGAATTCATCACATGCATAATTACCCAAGTTTACCAGACTTCCCAAGTTTTTATGGGCTAAGAATATATTTGTGTCATCAGCATAAAGTATCATTCTATTTGGTGTGGTACAGGTATCGTAGATGTCATTTGAAAATATAATAAAAAGAGTTGGTCCCAATATAGACCCCTGGGGCACTCCTAACTCAGCACTCTTACAGTCAGATTTGCTATTATTCATTACTGTCACTTGAGAACGATTTGTCAAATATGATACTATCCAATCATGTGGTATACCACGAATTCCTATGCTGTATAATTTACGAAAGAGTAAGTTGTGGTTAACCATATCAAATGCACGAGTTAAATCATAGAATATACCTAGTACATTCTTCTTGTTGTTAAGCTGTTCATAGATGAAATCCAGAGCTTGTTCAATAGCCGTTGAAGTTGATTTAGCTTTCCTGAATCCTGAATCCGTTTTGGTTATTGGAGATGATTTTGTAATGCTCAAGGAACTTCCTATGGAGAGCAATATAGATTTTTGAGGTCGTTATCTTTGGCTGGATGGAAATCTTCAACGATGTCGATGTGGGTTTTCAAGGCACAAATATGGGGAGCAACTCTTTCGGCAAGATTAAAAATATCAGTATCATAGTCTTTAGCCTCTTTCCTCCTCATCACCATAGGTTTCAATAGTTTCAAAGAAACTGCTGTAGCTATGAGCAATGCAGTGGTACGTCGCATAAGAGCTCAACGTTCATTTTCTCAACATTCACAATGAGAAGGTCTGCTAATGTGTCCATTAATTTCGCAAGCTCACAATAACCCGTAGATCACAGTAAACTGGAGTCATCACTCCTATTTTTGTTTTATATTCTCCAAATTTTATTGCATTTGCTTTGAACAATTCTTTAGCAAAATTTTTCAATTTTTCTTCGAATGACTTCATATTTGTGATTGATATAATAGATTAATGAATAAAAGTTGCAATTAACTTCAATAATCTCACAAAATGTTTCTTCTGAAAAATAAAAGAACTAATTAAACGTTACGCCACTGAAAAAACATGTGCAGGCGCTTCAAACTTCAAGACTATCTTCTATTATCACAGTACTTCCTCTACTTCTTCTTAATTTTTGTCCCAGCTTCCAGATTTGGCGCTATTATGACCAGTGCTCTTTTTATTATAGTGACAACTATAATAAAAACTTTGTCCAGGGAGTACAAGAGTNTTGGATCAGGTATATTACACTTGAATGTTAATATATTTGTTTTGTTGGTATTCAATGATAAAAGATTCGACTCAAACCAATTCTTCAGTTTTTTCATGTCTGGGCACATTTTGTTAGTAATCTGTTTTTGTCCTTGTCATGCCACAATAATGTGTCGCCAGCAAATAAGGTAAAGCTTCCTGTAATCGATATGTTGGTTAAATCATTAATTAATAACAGAAACAGTATAGGCCCTAATACAGAGCCTTGAGGTACTCCACAATTTATCTCTCCAACGTTCGAGTTAGATAACGTTCTTACAAATTGTTTTCTATCAGAAAGGTATGAAGTAATCCAAATATGACTGTTGTCCCTAAAACCATATTTGTGAGTTTCCGAATTGACATGCTGTGATTGACACAATCAAAAGTTTTGGATAAGTCACAAAGTACTGCTGCAGTGGCTTCACCGCTGTTGATTTCATTGTACACCAATTGCAATACTACAGTAATGAAAGAAGTTTTAATCAAAGCGTTTGCAGAAGTTATCAAGGAATTGTGGTAAGAAGATTCATCTGATGAGTGATTAACACGGTCTTCTTTGAAGGTCAGATTCAAAGATTTGCCCCGCGATTCATGGGTTCTTCCCATCAGGACACCCAGGAATTCCTTCGATATCTTTTATAAGGTTTACATGAGGACCTCAACAGAATTACTGAGAAACCTGAACCGATCTCAATAGAGATTGACGAAAAATTGAGCGACAGCGGAGAAGAGTCCTGGCCGAGATATTCGAATATGTTTCCCTGTATTTTACTAATTTATTGAATCATTGAATGCCTTGATGGTGTAGTAACTCATGTTTTTTGGGAGCTAAAATAGGAAATACAACATAAAAAATCGATAATTAGCATTGAGCACTATGTTAAATAACAATATTATATCTGCCTTCCATATCATTATTTGACAAGAGGTGATATGGTAATAGAGAAAAACAAAAATTCAATTCATTTTTTTTAATAAACATAAACAATATAAATAAACAAAAATTAATAATTATTGGTTGGAACTCCTGATTTCTTCATCAGATTTAGGCAAACTTTTGAAAAATCCAAGTCGTTTTAACCTGAGTTTGCCCCAAACAATATAATTGTTGATAGCGATACTCTGTGCCGCAAATAATGCCGCCGTTTCTGGATATAACACAGTACCGCATCCCAAGCCAGAAGGGACATTCAAACTAGACCAAATATCTTTAGCTAGTTCTTCCTTGGGACCCGGCGGACAATTTATCACCGGATAATCTGTATTGCCAGAAATAACTGGTCCCAACCCATTGGACCTTCCAGCTACTGCTATAAAAATTATAGGAATATTCAGTCCTTCATAATAGCTTATTATGTCCAAAGTATAACCGGTGGTTTTGTGTGCAGAGGACACTCTAATTTCAGTATTCAGTCCAAGATCCTCACAGTATTTTTTAATTTTATTACAATGTTCTTTATCAGCTGTGCTGCCCATCACTATCACAACTAGATGTTTGTTAGGAGGAATTAAATGGTCCAGTTGATCTGCAACCCATTCGAAATTCCTTTTCACCACATCCAAATCTTTATCGGTAACAGTGGAAAGGTTTCTGTACACTTGCTTGTCCACCATCAATCTTTTATCTCCTGAAGGCCATAGCCGCCAACTATCGGAGTCAATAACATCAGCAACCAAAATTTCACCTGAAAGTTGAAACGAAATTAGTTTCAAAAAATTATTTGAATTCAAATTTGTAAAATCGTTTAGACCCCTCTATAAAATTTTTGGATTTCAGAAATGTTCCATCAACTGTCAAAAGCATTTTACTTGAAAACAGTTTTTATACAGGCGAATAATATATTGACACAGCTGGGCTATTATTTTTTATGTTCACATAATTCGGATAAATATAATTTTGAGAAAATCAAAACACCTCATTCCCAGTTAATTCCAATGAATCTTCAAAATGTTTACCATTTGCACCTCATCTCATTATCTCACTCATTATCCCTCTATCTTTTTTATTTATCTTGGACCCGGATGTCACGCAGGTTGCTATAGCTGCATCCGTGACGGAGTTAGTCCTTGTAATCACAAGGTCTTCCAATGATGACACGAAATCGCAGTTGGCCCCTGATGATGAATCCGCTTGCTTGTTTGACCCCTTTCTTGTAACCAAGTGTTGTCTATCCTTTACACTTGGCTGTACCGTACTGACGAAGGCTAAATAACCAGAAACACGTGTCTACCAACAGCATATGCAGGAATAACTTCTGTGAAGAATCCTGTACTGACCCCTGTCGGATATAATCCAACGCCCTTCGTGGTATTAGCCAGGGGAGTAGTTGTTTTCTGATAGGTGTCAGTCCATTAACCTACTGTGTAGGGTGTTGAGACTGGCCTGAACGAATTGTTTTTTTAGATGATATCATTTATTCCGATGAAAGTGAAATAAACACCATTGATTCCCATGAAGGTGACAATAAAATTTGCGAAAATACCATGAAAACGGAGGATCTCCAAAGCACCGAGGAATACAATACTTCCAATATACGTGACGAACAAAATGGTAAAAAACATGAAAATAAAATACTTGGTGAAGTAATACTAATGAAGGAAGGGGGAGTTGCCATCTAAATGAGGAAGTAAATTATGTTGATGGTGGAGACGATGACATTACAGAACTGGGACATATAGAAAAAGAAATAATATTGAATGAAAAAGAGAACATAATATGTCAAACACAAAAACAAAATGAAAACGATTTGAACACTAGAGATACTCTAACTTCAAACCAAAGAAGTCATGTAAGTTTCATAAATCATTTATTTTGGCCAGTGCCATTAAATAACGACAGAAAACGAAAGGAAAAACTTCCCTCTACAATTTCATTCTCATTATTTCGAAAATTTCTAACAGAAATAGAATGAAGACAAAAGAAGGAAACAGAGAAGAAAAAGAAGAAAGGAAAAGAGAAAGGTAACTGAAAGCAATACAGAAAAAACCTAGTCAATCAAAGAAAAAACGAAAGATTTCAACAACAATCACAGATGTTTCCGGAAGTGATAGCATTCCAAGTGTGTCCAAGGAAAAGCAGAAATGTTCATCATGTGCTGATGATTTGGATAGTGATGCAGAAGATGATAAATGTTTTCGGTGGTATCACCTTATGTGTACTGAATTTATCGGAAAGTCTTATGATAACGTTGAAATGAGAGCTAATCATCGACGCAGATGAAAACATTTTTCCCAATTGGAAGAAGTAGGAAAATCTTTATATAACTAGCTCAACATCCTTGAACTTGAGGGATCACGGGCTCAGCGTCCCTCTGACATTTGAGAACCTGGTAAGCCCTAATCAAACATCAAACTATTCAAATTCGAGTTCATCGAGATGGTCGACTTTCGGGAGGATCCCGGTCGAACTTTGATTTTTGATGGTCGACTCCTAGATTTTCGTTCATTTTCTCCTTTTCGAATTTTAATAATATTAACATTCATAAATGTATTAACACTCGTAGATTAGTTGGAAAATATGATAATGAACCTATGTAAGACTGATATTTTCCACATTCAATTGAAATTTATTGAATTTTAATGGCAAGTTAATATTAGAAAATTATTAAACTGGTCGACTACTGGCGCATTTACCCTATGCGGTTTTTCTACACAATCGATTTACCTCACTTTTCGCCCAATGCGGGTCCGTTCCAGGCACGTATAGTATACATTTCACTGATTTAACGTGCATCCCAGGGATTACAAAACATAATCTGCCTGCATGTCATCTTGATTTCTTCCAGGTTAGAGCCTTGCTCCCCTACTCTTTAAACTGGTTTTCGTCAGAGAGACGAATGGGTTATAACTGATCAGTGACGGCGGCATGAATGTCCTCAGACATCAGTACCGCCCTTCGCGGTGTACCTCTACCTGGCTGGAGTGGATGGAGATATTCATCTGTTAACGGAGGACATAGGGGCCTCATTCGACAGAGTGTCGGGGCCTTTTATATCGGGAGGGGTCGTCTACAGCGAAATCTATAGCTTCCCTGACCAAAAACAATCTGTTTTGACAAGAGGGTATTTAAAGTAAGGGGGAAATTGGTGATCTTTCAATGATGTCACGTGAGTCTTTAGGTGACATCTCATATTCAACAAAAACATTCTGATGGACTGCTTCAACCAATAGAAACGCGCTAACGTTTCAAAATGACCAACAGATGAATCCATCTTATCAATCGCTGTATTCAGGAAATATTCATTTTTTAAAATTGTTCTAGAGTAGTTTGGAGTTAAATGAATCCATTGAAAATACATTTCCTCACACCAGAACAAAATGCGACGTGCGTTTCTGTAACCAAGTTAGCATCATCAGGAGATGACTGAACCTACTTCTTACAAGCCATATGCATCCAGATGAATCATTATCTTGCATAATAAGGGTCATCAAATCAATTGATAATGTTTTGTTATTGTCCCATTGTTATTTACTAATTTACTACCTGACTGATATCTAATCTTCTACTTTTTTACCTGTAATTTCATACCAATGCCAACATTGGGCATCTAAAAACTTGTTGTCATGTACGGGCAGTGTAGCCAACCCTACAGTTTTAACTGTAGATATACAGTTTTTTCGAAATTATGTCAGTTGGGTTGGGAATCCCCGTGAATCCTTTGAATATCAAAATATATGTACTTGGCTGTGCATTCTGTCATTCATCTGACTAGATTCTTTTTTGTTCGGCTGACGTTGTGAGTTTAGCAAAAAGTTATGAATATTTGCAATAGTGATAGTGAGTCAGATGTTGATAAATCCCCACCAAGAAAGAAGAAAGTACTGAGATTCAAGCAGAAATTTATTGACTCTTGGCTCAACGACGAAAAGTTTAGTGGTGGCTCGCAAAAAGTAAAAAGGGTAACACGTATTTTTACTGCTCGGCATGCGACTGTGATCGAAAATGTAGGATTCAAAAATTGATGCGACACAAAAACTCATCAAAGCACCAAGCAATCTGTAAAAAAATACAAAAGCAACCTAAACTTAGTTCGTTCGCATCAACATCAAAATCACAGGAACCGCAGCAGATGGCAAAAGCCGGCGAAATTAAACTAGCATGTTTTATTGCGGAACGGAACACAACCTTGCATTTAATGTTGCCTCACATCTGACTAATTTAATAAAATCGGTATGTCCAGATTCAAATACTGCCAATATTTGTCTATGAGTCGAACAAAAGCAAGAGCTATTGTAGTTAATCTGACAGGAAAAACCGCTGAAAAAAACTTATTGAAAAATTTAAGAGAAAACGAGTTTGCATTGATGGTAGATGAGAGCACTAATGCTTTGATAGCGAGGCTAGTCAACACAAATTATGAAGTAGAAGATAAATTTTCAACTGTGATACCGATTACCGACGGGTCAGCTGAAGCTTTGTACCAAAAAACTGTAGAATATTTTAATGAAAAAGAAATTTCATACGAAGATAATTTGTTAGGATTTGCTTCTGATGGTGCCAATGTCATGTTCGGAGGGAATAACTCAATGGTCACTCATTTAAAGAATGACATACTTAATCTTTTCACCATGAAATGTATATGCCATTCAATTCCGCTTTGCGCATCTCACGCATGAAAAATTACCGAGGGGTCTTGAAAATTTTTACCACCAAGTTTTCAATCACATCCAAAATTCACCTAAACGCATCGGTGATTATAAAACTTTTCAGGCGTTTTCAAATGTGAAGCCACATAAAATATTGTACCCTGCACAAACCAGATGGCTATCGTTGAACGATGTCGTGAATAGATTGTTGGAACTACTTCCAACTATAAAATGATATTTCCAATCGGCAGTGCTTACATATCGTCTTCTTTCTGTCCAAAGCATTTTAACGAAAGCTATGGAACCGACAACCGAATTATACTTGGAATTACTATGATTTGTTTTACCAATATTCACAGATTTGAATAAAGAAATGCAGGCAGAAAAACCAAAGTTGTACTTATCATATGATCAGATTTACACACCATATGTGACAACTTTAGAATGCTTTATACAACCGTTTTATTTAGAACTAACAGAAGAGATAAATAAAGCCAAAGATATCTTGAATGCCAAAGAAAAAAAAATATTGATGTAAATGACGTACAGATCAACTTGCCGTTATTGGAAACATATGTTGGAGGAATGGTACCAAATTTAATTCGATTGAAAAGAGACACTCGAAAGTTGGATAATGATAAACTCAAATTTTTACACGAAATATAAAGACTTTTATATTGAGGCAGTAGCCCAAATCAAACAGAGGTTTCCTTTTGCTGATAAAGAACGTCAGGCGCAAAAGTGTTTACAGATGTTGAATCCACTAGCGATTTCAGGTCATGATTTGAGCAAAAAACAGCTTCAATTTCTGATTTATCATATTATTTCCCAAGTATTTGTCCAGAAAATATAACAGAATTCGATAGGGAATGGAGAACTCTTCGCAAGACTAGTTTTAATTTTGACGAGACTGAGACGCCTAGTGTAGATAAATTTTGGTAGCATGTTTCCAAATTAAAAAGAGGCGACGGCTCTGCAATGTTTCCACTATTATCGACTTCAACCAAGAAGCTTCTGTTTGCCGCACATCACTGTTACGATAGAACGCTCATTTTCGAGCATTAATGGTATGAAAACGAAACTAAGAAATAAACTTTCT